AAGCGAGTGTCAGATTTCAACTGAATCATAAATGTTCATGGATTACACAAGTAAGTTATTTTGTTAGTCTGAGAAGATTCTGCAAATGCCTCAAAATTTGATGTGTGATGTGAAATAATTGGTATACATTAGATGAGAAGCACGGCGGTTAGTCCAAAGATCCATACCAAGAAATGAATTGATGTTTTCTTGGCACTGGATTCGTCAGATGGCTTGTCCATGTCCACCTGTATGTAGCGATCGTTACACTTCAGGTCACTACAGGCTTCCAGAGACTCGATCTTAACAATGGCATTCTGCAGTTGTAAGCTCTCTAATAATGTCTTCCAATTTGGTTGGTGGTGAGGTGTCGATAGCTTGGGCCATCCCTGGCGCAACTTTGTCTCCGAGAAGTACGATCAACCGACGTGGATCAGATGAGCGCCGTTCCTTGGCTGAGACCCGAGTGTAAGCATACCAGTTCAGAGTGTTGCTGTCCCATTCCAGTAACTGGGCAATCTTGTCTGCGACCCCTTGCCCCTTGTCTGGATCATCTGCAACACTGAGTGTCACGACAGCAGAGTAGCTGCGGGAGCAACCCTTTATGGCAGTTTCCAGGAACCCCTTGATGGATTCGTACATCTCTGAGACGAAGGCCCCTTTGATAGTCCAGAATACCCTCCACCAGTCTAGGGATCCAAGGGAGCAAATGGACGGTGCTCCGGGGGCAGGGGACACGTAACATCCGGTGTGGGATGCGAATGCTGCTGTCTGTATCTCCTGACAGCTGAGAGATTCCCACGGACGAAGGACGTACACCAGCTTCACTTGCAGACACCTGCGAACAGCGTCTATCCAGTCTTGGGCCCGACTGCTAAACGTGTGGTATGTGTTGCCGTAGGCCTTGCAAAAGCGCTCACCAAACGACAGCGCATAGTCGTATTTCGAGTCATCACACGGTTGCTTCACGTTCAGGCATTCACGGTACCAGTTGCACGTCTTCCCGGGAGGTTTGAAACAATAGCTGGGAAGAGAGGGATGGGGAGGAAACGTCGCATTCTTGGAACATGTACACCTAGCTGATTTGTCTTCGACTGAACAGGGGCGCCAGCAGTATGCATCCCTGTCAGGGCATCGGTCAGACCCACCTGTTAGTATCTGCAGGCTCTCATCATTCATACACACATTCCATTGATAATTTGCAGCTGATGAAGACTGGTTAGAGCATACGAATCCATCGCCAGGCCCTGTGACTGGATCACAGCCATAACCTTCACATCCTGCGAAGACACAGCACAAGATGATCGAGAGAAATACAGACCACATTTTGCTTTCCATACTGAGCAGTCCTACTAGCTGCACGAAAGAGTTTTCCTTTTGACATGCATTTTATACTTGTTTAAGTACTCATTATTTTTTTGCAAATGACTCCAAAGTCCGCTGGCCTTGCAGATAGTGAGGACTTAAACAACTCCAAGTCACAAGGAATCCTAAAATAGAACTTTGTCAATAATTCATGTTTCAGCTTCTATAGATTTTATGTAGTCTTTATGCTATAAGGTGTGGCATTATGTGCTTGCCAGCCTACGGTACCTAGGGTCGTCGTTCAAAAGTCATCTGATGTCATTTGCTGATAAAGGAAGAAATGAAAAGAATAACTGGATTACTTATTAAAATATAATCGCAACTCTGAGTCACGAGGAGTCCTAAGAGAGAACTTTGTCAATAATTCAAGTGTCTGCCACTACAGATATTATTTAGTCTTCATGCTGTATGTTGTGGCATTGTGTACTTCATGGCCTGCCTACGGTATCTAGGGGTCATTAGCTGATAAAGGAAGAAATTAAAAAATAACTGGATTACTTATTAAAATATTATCTCAGAAAAAAATGACGAAATGACAAGTTTTAGATAAATTGATATGGCACAGTATTTTATTTAAATTTAGTAAACAAGCAGTGTCTCATAAACAACAAATGTGCATACATGTAAAACGTGTATCCTGAGGCAATCTTGTCAGTGTTTTTAATGAATAGATCCAACAATTTTTAAACAGTTAATAAAATTAGACATAAATTGATACAGGTTTGCTTTCTGAATTGAATGATTTTTTTCTTCCTGTCCTTTCATCTTTGCCGTAGCCCAAAAATTGTTGACTCGCCAGCCGGGTGACCTAAGGAATTGTTTGGCTAGCCCGCCGCAGTTTTGACTAGCATCACTATAGTTTGATTTAGGTTGTATTGTATTTTTGGAAGCCTTACATAGAATGTATCGTAACGGCTATAGCAATTCTGTTTTATCGTTGCCAAGGACACAGCTCATTGCTGCAATAAGTAACTGAAACTATCGAGTTTAATTCCTGCTTTTGTACTGCATCTACCAGCTCTTTCATCATGCCAATCAGGTTAACGCTCAGTGCATCTGCCGCTTGGGTCATGCAGCCCAAGGGATTTAGCTTGTCCACGATGAGGTGGATGGTTTCTGTGTCTTTGGTTTTATTGTGTGTCCGGAGCATAGCCGGACCAGACAAGTGTGTGTCCATCCATGGAGGTAGCTCCATGGTCCATCCCAGCTGCGTAGACAATATACAACCATGTGTCACTGTTGGGTCCACCTCTGTGGTCGACCATGCATGAGAGATCCTGTTGCAACCAGCGGCATGGATGTTGCTTCAGGTCCATCCTCCTTGCACACCTGTTCCCCATCTTCGCCAAGCCTTGATTTAAACCCCAGTGATGAAGCTTGCTTTGATAGTCCAGAGCTCAGCCAGCCAGTCTTGGAATCCTAGGCTGCAAAATCGAGTCCCTAGTATAAGAAGCGAAGGCTTGGTCTCTGCTCAAATGACAGGTCGGTTTATGCCAGGGGAGGGCAGCAGTGGCATCAAGGCCACCTGCAAACACTTTCTGACGGCATCAATATAGTCCTTGAACAGATTGTGGAACTTAACCCCGACCCTTAGAGTGTTTAATATACTAACCTTCCTCGCTTCTGCCAATTCCTACACCATATTGTAAACTCTACACACACAAATATTGGGCTCTGATTAGTGGGTTGTATGCCTATCTAATACCATGTAAAGCAAAATAAGTTTACGAGTGCAGTACTCACTCTAACAGATTCCAACAAACTCTGGTGTTGGAGATTGACTGGATGGGGATTGTTAGGGTTAAACCATACATTGTAATGTTTCAGTAGCACTTTACTTCAAAATGTGGCAGGTATTTGGAATACTGATGGTGTTTTTTTAAGTGCCATTCAGCAATATACAGGGACAATGGAAGTGTTGCTCTTTTCTTTTTGCAATTGGACTGTCCTAAAAAAAACCCACCCCATCAATTGGAAGAGTTTGTTTATTTCTTTGACGTCTGACGTTTATGTATGCTGTAAATTCAACATTTGTTGCTCAGTTACATTGATTGTGTTGCGTGGCAAATTAGGAATGTGATGGGTTAGTGCCTGATTGATAGCCTTACAAATCCATGTTTCATAGGGTGTGTTCTTATTTAGGAACGATACAGTGAGTGCATTTACATAATAACATGTTTGGCGAGTGTTCATAAATTTTCCATTTTACTTGAACTTGGTTTTAACTTGATATCAAATCAGAGTTGTGCTTGAAATCACCTTTACTGGCACGCAAGTAATTTCCTAGGACATTCGTGTCAATCTCAAAGGGGAGCCGATCTTGCTCATCTATATAAGAAATTTACAGAGGAAGGTTTTTTTTATTGGTCCTTGTAGTATTAGAGAAAGGGTAGAAAAACAGATCCATCGTCAGGCCCTCTGACTGGATCGCAGCCATTACCCCTATACCTCGCAAGACGCAGCTCAAGATGATCGAAAGAAATACATGTACAGACCACATTTTTTCGACCCAAACTGCAGTCCCAGCTGCAGGAAGAGTTTTCCCTTTTGACATGCATTGTATACTTGTTCAAGCACTCATGATTTTTTTGCAAAAGGCTCCAAAGTCCGCCGGTCTTGCAGGTAGAGAGGGCTTAAACAACTCCTAGTCACAAGGAATCCTACAATAGAACTTTGTCAATAATTCATGTTTCAGCTATTGTAGTCTTTATGCTATAAGGTGTGGCATTATGTACTTGCCACGGTATCTCGGGGTCATTGTTCAAAAGTCGTCTGATTTTATTTGCTGATAAAGGAAGAAATGAACAAAATAACTGGATTACTTATTAAAATATAATCTCAAGTAAAAATATGACTTTGAGAAAACATGACAAGTGTTTGATATGGCACAGTATTTTATTTAAAATTAGTAAACAAGCACACAAAATAAAGGGGCATATTGTTTTTATTCAGTGTAATACAACATAACCAGGTTGCTGAAAAGACTTTGTTTTGAAAAAATCTCAGATCACTTTCTAACGGCATCAATCCAGTCTACTGCTTGCTGGCTGATGGACATTGTTTCCACATTGTCCTTGAACAGATTGCAGAACTTAATCCATACATTGTAACATTTCAGTAGCACTGTGGCAGGCTATAAGTGCCATTCAGTAATATACAGGGACAATGAAAGTGTTGCTCTTTTCTTTTTGCAATTGGCCTGTCCTCAACAAAAATATCAATTCGGAAGGGTTTGTTTGACTTCTTTGACATCTGACATTTTAAGTCTATTGCAAGTTCAACATTTGTTGCTCAGTTACATTGATTGTGTTGTGTGGCCAAGGAAGATAATGAAGCTTTATTTCAAATTAGGAATGTGATGAGTTAGTGCCTGATTGATAGCCTTACAAATGTGTATTTCATAAGTAAGGTGTGTTCTTATTAATAACGATACAGTGAGTGCATTTACATATTAATATGTTTGGAGAGTGTTCATGAATTTGCCAATTTTACTTGAACTTGGTTTTTACTGGATATCAAATCAGAGTTGTGGTTGAAATCACCTTTGGGCACTCAAAATGTTCTTGAACATATTGTGTCAATCTCTAAAGGGGACCCTTTTGTAGCGGATCTTACTATTTAAGATATTTACAAAGGAAGTTTTTTTGTCCATGTAGCACCAAAGACAGATGCAAGCGGAGCTGGCTAAACCCCCCGTTTCTCGAGAGCCACGCCCAGCCAAGCCAGCGGACTGCGAGCAACCAAAGCCTCCTGGAATGCCTGCTGATGTCCAGGCGGTTGGAGAGGCATCTAAGCCCAAAGAAGAGGAGACTATGGAGGAGGGGAAGAGCGACGAAGCAACCAAAGAGAAAACCGAGGAGAGGCCGGGGGAGGGAAGGATCAGAAGATGGAAGATATAAAGACGCAGGAATAGAATATCTAGTGTATTGGGGGAGAGAACTGAATTGGATACGTACTTTTCCTGCATTGAAAAGGGAGCTTTGAAATGTTTCAGAGTCCTGTTGATTTAATAGAGTCCTGCTGATTTAATAGTCTGGCCAGTTCACATTCACATTTCTATGCGTTTATCTTGTTACCAAACACTAAATTGTCTAGTCATACAGACTCCCAGGTTTGCATACAGACTCCCAGGTTTGCATTTACCCAGTTATGCGAATGGTCGATTTAACGTTAGTCCAGGCCATAATGTTATACTTTATTTTAGTCTTCAATTGGCACAAAAAACTCCTTCACAGAACTCAGTTAATGCCCTTAAATGGATAAGTCTAGTCGACATCAAATATATTTGCAAAAATATATAGGATGTTACTCACACCGTAGCTCCAATACGATGTACCATATTCCCGTAAAATCTTGCAGGTTCTTGATGTCAACGTGCTGGCTCTATTGCACGTAATGTTGTAGCCACCACCTTTGGCCCATACGGTAAGCAATGGATAGTCACGATGTGAGCTCTGCATTTACAGGATTTCCGTTAATTTTCTAACATTGTTGTGCCATACATGTATCACTGCTTTTAATGTGGACCTCCAGTTATTTCATTCTTATTTTAACTGGGTAGCCCATTCAGTGGAATCCACTGGTCTCCAGGGCCCACAGGGCCCAGTGATTTGATTAAGAGAAGACAGTGTGAAGAAATTACAGTATTAGACGTGGGAGGAAAAACCCAGTAGAATATTATGACAAAAAAAAAAACACGGAATCAGGCAGGGACTGAAAACCCTCAGTTTTGTTATATACCTCAGTTCTGTCTGTCAAAACTTTTTTCTTCTTCAAATGTTGCAGTCTTTTTTGCTGAGTTGTGTTTATATCCAGTGAAGACACTGGTAGTAGAGGATACACACTTAAAATGTACAGTGTAACATTTCACCTGCGTAGAATTAAAGTAGTAGTCATACAGTGTTGGAGAAAGGGTTAAAAATTGTCCATCGGCGTTATGTGACCATTAAACGCTCTTTTGTTTTTATACAAGATTGGATGTAAATAGTAAATACAATGTGGTAATTCTGTCTTTTATTTGTTGGTCTGTTCTAAAATTAACTCTGATTACCGCAGTAGAAGCTGCCGCAGTAGAAGTACAGGTTACTGCATGAATAGGTATATACATGTACATACATGTCTTTACTTGGTGTCAACCGCATTCTGTGTTTGTAAAGCTCCCAAGCTGAGGCAACATGGTCAGGCCATTTGAAATTTGGTTCATTGAATCACGGAGGAACGTTGCACATTTGGCTCAAATTCAACTTGTTGTCCAATTCCTATACCGATTATGACATTAGAATTACAGTATAGCGCCGTGGCGTCGAAAACGGGTGAACATTTGTATTTGGTTTGTACGGGAATGGGTCATGGGTACATTGAAGTGAAAGGATCTTTCTCGGCCACATACACTGTAGGTGTGCTTAAATGGCAACCTTCTGCGCTTGCTTCTTATGGTTGAAATCTACCTACATAATGCTGATCGACTATAGTTGGACTAGCACTACCTCTGTCGAATATATTTGGGACAGCCAATACCGAGCTAGGACGGGCGCTTTGCTGATTACAATAGCCTTGTGCATCACAATGTACAGTTCTAGCAGGGTCGGGTCGCCGGGAGCCAGGAGCAAAACGTTTCGTGATATTGAATTTGGACCATCAGTTGGTTAAAGACTTTCGCGCGTTCCTGTTGATACGCAGGCGTGAATTTCGTCACAAATCAGCCACTAGTCGACCAAGTGTGCTCTATCGAACTTGCTCTAAATTAGCTGAGTGAATCGGTGCATACGTCTTCACTTTCCTGCAGTATTCAACGAAGTGTACCTTAGTTACGGCCGAGAGGTTTTAATGTGATTGCATTTGCATTGTTTTTTTTTTTTACCGTGCTGTCAACTACGGGATGTACAGCATGAGATTGGGAGATTCTGGCCCAGGATTCTTGACTACGTCAGGTGTGGCGTCCTTCAGAATCTTAGCCTTCACTTCAGCCGCTTCCAACGTTGGATCGTTGCTGCGGGCTATCACTGCAGCTCCTGAATGGGAAACAGTTGACGAATCGAACATTAATTTTGACAAACCACATTCTAATGTATTTGCCGCCGGACTGGATTTCACTTGAATCACTAACCGCGCTATCTCTCGGCCCTGGTGACCTCTCACTCCCGTTGAGGTTTCAAGGGACAGGGTCGGCCAAAAAGGAAGATTCTAAAACTGCACTATTCTTGTTCTCGGATGTGACGTGCGACGTCAAGGGGCCGTACTAAGTTGAGTTGGCCTATATGTTTTGCTTATGCAGTTTTGGAATTCAGAGATCCGATTGCTATAAATGGTTTATTTCTCGGGGTTGAAAACCCACCCAATGGTAAGGGGTATAAGAACTTTGATGGCCTACCACTGACGTGTGGACAGGACATGGAAGTTCCACTGATGGTGTTGACTTCGAAGTCTCCACCCATCCACAAACTGGGGATGTCCACACCGGGAGCAAACAGGTCAACGCACTTCCCGTAATTGGAGAAGGACGCCCTCTGGTCCTCAATATCGGTGGCGCCCACCGTGATCGCCTAATAATCAGATCGAATGAAGCCATGAGTCAATAGAAAATTCGTATTTCTTCTTCACTGACAATTTAAAAACTGAAACGAGTGGGAATGCTGGACGCCTTGGCAAGTATTTGCGCGCGAATTCACCCAAAATGAACTTTGGCAGCGAATCTCGCTGCGCACGTTTGGTGACCCTAAGCATGTATACAAAACATTTTGCATTCGCATGCGCACCCGGAGTACATTTTACACGTTTTATTTCTTTTCAAAGACGGAAAAAAAAACATCTACGTCCACAGAGTCAAGAACTGAACATTGATTTAGCCATCATAAACCAAACGCTCTATCTCCATGCCACTAGTTCACTAGGCGGCAACAAATCTTATAGCAGTGCATTATATAGGCATATTACAATCATCACAGTAACGGTAACTGGCTAAGAAAAAACTATACACAGAAAATACAGTTTACTATACCAAGCACATCGTGGGGAGTGCATGGTTAGGGTTCGTGACTCATGATAAGATGGTCATAATAATAAATTATTATTATTATTATCAGACACATGTCAGAGGGTCAGGGGTTCGAATCCAGCTGCTGGTTATGCGTTGTGTCCTTGGGCAAGCCACTTCACACCCACTTGCCTCTCTCCGCCCAGGAGTATAAATGGGTACCGGCATTAGCTGGGGAGTAACCTACGATTGACAAGCATCACATCCAGGTGGAATAGAAATATTCTCGGTCGTTTCATGCCACTGAAACCGGAGATAAACGCCGGCCTGATAGGCCACATTGGATCCTGACAGACTTTACTTTTACCTGTGCTTTTACTTACTACCGTGCGCCTTTCCATCCGTTGGGTCCAACACGGGACAGTCTTTGGTACACCATTCAAACAATCAAGAAATTGAGAATCAGCAAGTGACTTATTTTTCTACTCCCTACTGCACTCGTTTTGATATACGGAGGTTAAGTTATATTTTTTCCGAGGAGTAGCCAGTCCAAATATACATCGGGACGAGCGAAAAACACCCATACCTCCTTAGCACTAGCGGGCGACTGGTTGCACGCGTCCCCGGCACTGTTACCAGCCGACACCGAGACAGTCACATCCGCATCGTTCATTCTCCTGACGGCCTCCTCCATGGCTTCGGATTGCGGAGACCGCAGAGACATTGATGCCACAGCAGGGTGCTTGGCATTTTTAGCAACAAAATCCATCCCTGAAAAAAAATCCCAAACTTAAATGTATAATTACTGACAAAAAGGACGGGTGTCAAAGATGTATTCCCCGTGCTTCTTTCGAGTTTCTCCTCGAAAAATAGATTTTTTTTTTTAATTGCCATTTTTCTAGCAATAATTATAAACGTTGTTCACGTTTGACTAATTTAGACCTTGAACAAAAAAAATCTACCGATCTTTAGTTATTGAATAATTTTCCACAAAATTTGATTCATTGGCTGCCAGGCAATAATTCGGCTCTTGCAGGGCGGTTTTTTTGTGTGGGCACAAAATGAAAACCCCAGTTTCATTTCAGAGAAAATAACTTGTTAGGAAGTACAGTACCGTCAAGAATGCTTGACGTGGAGCCGCTACCAGCACAATCGAGTACCCGCACGCCGTACAGAGAAGCCTCCCTGGCGATACCGAATACTTCACCTCCTATTGTCCCAGCACAGTGGGTACCGTGCCCGTTACAATCGATTCCCTGCAACAAATTTATAAAATGCTAATAATCGATACTTTGTGTTGCCTGGTAAATTTTGTAGCTCGACTATGCATGGGTAACTGAAAATCACGTTCAGATTATTATGGCATCGTGCAAGTTTTGAGAACATCACTGTATGAGCTGCAACGATAGTGTAAAAAAAAATATTCTACGAAAAAAACACATTTTGAGACCACTTGGAATCTGTGACCTTTTAAACATGGTGAATTAAACATCAGCCTCAAACGGCCATCCAAACTACCAAATTTCTGCAGGATGTGCCCCAGCTCTGAACTAGGTTTGGTTGAATATTTTTCCAAAAAAAATATATTTGTGTTATCTTCGCAGTCACACGTTTGTATTATTGGCCATCTAATTCCCGTTTATTTCCAATGATATATACACGTGCTGAGTGGCAATGTTCAGCGCAAATTAGACCTCGCGGAATGTATTGTTCTGATTCCTGAGATAATTATCTTATGAATTAGGACATTGAACTGCGCAAAAAAAAGTCAGTAAATTTTGCTCGAGGTCCAAATTTGCGCTGAACAACACTACTATGAAGATACAAAGTCCACGAAATATGGCATTTCCTTCCCGTTTTCCAGTGCTTGAACCATCTGTTAATCGGTATAATCATACAGATATCATTGCTTCATTATGAAAAGTAAAAAAACAAATCCATATCTTCATGCCGTGTAGTAAAACAAGTTGTGATGAGAGCCATGCATTTATACCTTATTTATTATTAGGCGAAAGTGCCAAAATTGCTCAGTAAATAGGCATATTGTGTTGTAATAAATCTTCGGTGATCCCAGTTTTGTTTGTAGGTAGAAACTGCAAAACAAAAAGCAACATGTCCACTGACATAATTCAGTTGTTCTTAGCGCTTAACACATGCGGAAGCCGAGATCGAGTGTAACCTCAAAATTTATGGACATCCTTCAAACACTTACACACTCGGAAACAAGTCGTTGGAAAAAGAACAGTGGATTCTAATTGCCAGCGAATTGGGCTGCAAGTAGACATCGCGAGCAGAAATTTGAGAGAGAAAAAACCCGCCAACCCCTGTGGCCAGATTCATGATTGTCTTGCCCGTACCCTGCACTATTGATGTTACCTCTTTCCCGTCACCCACATTATCGTAGGCGACGAAAGCACGTTCGGAGAAGAATTTGTTGTCTGGGTAGATACCCGTGTCGATGATGTAAGCATTTACACCCACGCCATTACCTTTAGATAAATCAATAAAAACAAAGCACTGACAACTCTAACGTATATGGAATACATTATTAAAGACATAAAGGGTCATTTTTTGCATTTCTTGTATTTTACTTTCCAATAAGAACACCACTCAAATCCAAAGAAAGATTAAAAGCTTGTTTTCTGAAGGCTATATGAAATTAAAAAAAAAACCAAGAAGTTTCAGATACCTATATCTCATAAAACAAAAGTCCCACAGAGATCTATGATATGCTTAATGAATTCAAGAAGCAGCTTTGTGATGAAGTCATAAACTGAAAATGATAGTTTTGTTTTAACATAATTGTCCGTTACAAATAATTGATTTCGCTCTGTGTTACAGTTGCTTGAACGGCCGTTACAGCTTCACCTTCACGTATCACAGAGTGAAACATATCCATCCACAAAGAAGGTAAGTGTATGTAGAATACATTCCTATTTACTGCAGTCATGTTACAACGTGAACGTACATTTGATTGCTTTTTGTGTATTTTTGTCTGTCAAAGCAACAAGAGTTTAAATTCTTAAGTAGGGTGCATGTAACCTACATCGTGTAAAACCTAATCTTGTTATTAGTCACATGTGGTGTTCCGAGAAGGATCTGCATGACTGTTTCAAATAATTGTTTTAAACGTGTACAAAACCTATGGGGAAAAATGCATCTATGACCATCTGTGGGTGGTGTAAGTATGTGTCACGTGACGTGACATTAAATGTGCATTTTTTCAAATCGCTATAACGTCGGTTAAAACTTGGTACGCACATCCACAGGGATGTGTTATACATGTAGATGGAAATTGAAGTGACGTCATCATAAAATTTCATGTGACATCCCTTAAAGGGGCATTTTCTTCTTTTATAGGCCTATATATGAAAATAACTAGAATGTTCGATTTCGTTGAAGCTCGACACGTACGTATAATGTGCTGTTATCAGACTTCTGTAGTGACGTCACTAATTGCTCATCACGTGCACAGAGTATTTCAAATATCCGAAACAGCTTGTGCTTGTCCACAAATTTTTTCTAGTTTACGTTTGTAGTCGTCATCAGTTTTTGAATTCCTGCTTTGTATTTTTTTTTGCCGTTAGCTTTCGTCGTGTGAGTCTTTTGTCTCATCTGTGTTTCATTATAATGTTGTTTCTCTGTTGTTATTGTTGTCTGTAAGGGCTGTTTCTTACAAGCCTCGGCTTACTGCAACAGCTAGCCCCATACTCTTTATTTTCTCTTATACATAAACCAAAGCAAGTTTATCATTTGTTCAAAGTGTATTTTACTTCTATTATTTTGTTTGAGACATATTTATTGATTTTGTTATCTTGCTATGTACCAGATTTCTTTTATTTATGGATGTATTTCTTTAAAGGAGTATGGAATAAATTCTTCTTGAGTTGAATTGAATATGCTGTGTTCACAATCAGAGGACTCCAGTTTACCAATTTTAAAGGAGGGTCACTCACAGTTTCAACTTGCAAAACTTTCTAATTCTCTTCAAACACAGGGATGTACGCCGCCTGCAATTGTCTGATTTCAGGCTTTCTCAAAATTGTACATTTGGCACGTACGGTACGTACCATACATGTGTACGTACTTTTCCTTCATACCTGAAATTTTAGGCAAAAATATCCGAGTTGACGTACATCCCAGCAATCACTCCTTTACCTCTACTCTCAATGAACCACCCCACTCCCTAAAAACATTTTTACATTAAATATACCATGAAATAACTGACAATATTGATAGGATTCAAACTAGCAGTTTACTGTTGTCCTGGCAAGATAGTAAACCCTGCCCCACAAGATACTAAACCCTGCAATGTGAGGACTGCAGGAAAAAAAACTGGTTGGTTCACATGTCAAATCCTGTCGTTTTCTCATTGTCCTGTGAATCTTGTCCATGTGAGGAGTCCTACATGCAGAGTTTAGTTTCAAGGCTAAACAAGGTTTTGATCACAAGATACCTTACACAGCACTTCATCCTCTCAAATCATTTTTCCCCTGTCAGGTTGAGGAACCTCGGTACGATTCTCCCTTGGTCATAGAGGACATGCCGCACATGGCACAATTTGTTTACGACTTCTACTGGGGCAAGATACAGAGGCTGCAGGCATCGCGAGGGGTAAGTACTCCCCAGAAGATTGTTTTCCCAAACTGCATGAGTTTTATTGTCAACCCTAACCTTCCTAAATCCTGCAAAATTCTCCTTGCATAATTGCAGGATTTTGCAGGATTGAGGCTATACGGCAAAAATGAGTAGCTGAGTTTGGCGAATGCACTGTGTCAAAGTCTTAGGCCGGACCTTGTGTTGTTTATGCTCAGCCGTGTATAAATTTAGGCCTGGATTATACTTGAAATCCTCCACACTGCTCCAGGATGTCGCTGGCTCCGCCTCAACTTATTGACAGTGATTGCTGGGTGATTTTGCAGGATTGAGGCAATGATCACCCCTCCAATGAACACGTTCCAGATATAATGGATGGTGTTGGAGGATTGAGGCTGTATGCAATTTGGACAGAGAGGCAGTTGAAGGATTTTGCAGGATTGAGGTTGCATCCTAGAAAAAATGCCTACAGAGTTAGGGTTAAAGGTACTGTAACGGCGGTGCCGGGCCGCCGGCAGAGGGCACCAGCACGGACCCACGGTGCAACCGTAGCGTTGGGACCCCTGCTGCTGGGCCAGGGAGACCCTTTGCCAGACTGCGCCGACTCATTAGTGTGACTTTTGTATAGCGTCTTTTTTGTTGTGAGTTGTATAACGAGAGAGTCTCGTGTAAAGAAAGGGGACAGAATAAATGGCCGGAGAGCCCCGAAACCCTGAAAAATAGTGTCTGTGGTTTCCTTCGTCTGGCGTGTGAGAACCCCAGATTCGTTCTACGTTACATTGGTGGCAGCCGTGGCATGTCTGACGGAGGAAAAACAGGTTTCGCCATGAATACACCGGGTCGAGTTAGTCTAGCGTCCGACTCGCCACGCGGCGGCTACGCACGTTGGATCAGGGCCTCGCAGAGCGTAAACCAACCTGGTGAGATGGCCAACAAAGCGTTCGTCACGTTGGATGACTCGGAGTTGGACTTCTTCAGGGTTTCGGGGAGCCAGCTAGGCCCACATGCTAAATCCCATGGGGATCGCTCCGCACTGTGCACCACGGCGCAACAGACGCTCACTCGGAACACTGCTGAGTTGTTCCTGTTGATAAAGCAGGGCTGGCCGGGCTTGATAGTCCGGAGACACCCCGCATCAACACACGCGCCAGGTCCCACGAGGGGTCGCCCCGTGCTGTAAACGATGGCGCAACAGACAGTTCGTTCCATTCGGAGCGATCCCGATTTGTGCTGTCCGATGCGGCGGGGGCGGGGCTTCGTCGGGACATACCCAAGTCGGTTGGTAATAAAGTGGCATATGCCAGGTCCCGCGAGGGGCCGCCCCGTGCTGTAGACGCTGGCGCAGCAGACGTCTCGTTCCATTCGGAGCGATTCCGAGCTGTGCTAGTTGATGCAGCCGGGGCGGGTTTTCGTCCTGGAGCAACCCCTACGCTCATAAAAATAGTGCTAGGCCCCACATGGAAGCACCACTCGGTGCTTACATAGATACGACTGGTGCGGCCTCCCATTCGGGGCGCCCCCAGGCTGGATTTGCCCATATACCGGGGGCGGGAAACCGTCCGAGCACGCCTCAGGCGGCACGACCGGGAGTGGATCTCCCCCAGCAGCACGTTCGTCCCCACTATCCCAGTATGGCGAGTCCTGACCTCCACTCGGAGCAGGCTCGCACTGCACGACTCAATGGAGTGGAGCCCGTGGAGTTGCTCCGCGCACAAGTCAATGGACGGGAGCCCGTAGAGTTGCTCCGCACACGAGTCTATGGGACGTAGCCGATGGAGTTGCTCCGCACGGGACTCAATGGAGCGGAGCCGATGGAGTTGCTCCGCACAAGAGTCAATGGAGAGGAGACCCCAGGGTGGGCCCAGAGATGATCCAAGCGGAGAACCCAGAGAAAAACCCAGAGGAGACCCCAGAGGTGGCCCGGAGGAGATCACAGAGGAGACCAGGAGACCCAAACGGATACCCCAGCGGAGGCGCCGCCTTGTTCGGGGACGAACAAGGGTCCTCGGAGGAAGGCTGTGTAACGGCGGTGCTGGCCGCCGGCAGAGGGCGCCAGCACGGACCCACGGTGCAGCCGTAGCGTTGGGACCCCTGCTGCTGGGCCAGGGAGACCCGTTGCCAGACTGCGCCGACTCAGTAGTGTGACTTTTGTATAGCGTCTTTTTTGTTGTGAGTTGTATAAAGTGAGAGCCTCGTGTAAAGAAAGTGGACAGAATAAATGGCCGGAGAGCCCCGAAGCCCTGAAGAATAGTGTCTGTGGTTTCCTTCGTCTGGCGTGTGAGAACCCCAGATTCGTTCTACGTTACAGTTCTCTGATGATTTTAATGTGAAAATGTGTTAATGAAGCGTATTTTAAGACGCTACATCATATTACCCCTGCTCATCATCAAGTGAATGAATGCAAACCAAAGACCATCTGAGCTCCTTGGGAAGCATACAATTTTCACCACACTTCCTTAAACATCCCGCTCAGGCGTCCCACGTAGTGTTTTCACTTTTTTGGAATTGATTATATGTGATGTGTTAAGCCCCCAAAAACCACCAAAACAGTAATGTTGCCTTTTAAAAAAGTGAGGTTTTAAATAATGTTAAACTATAGATCATTTTCTCTTTAAAACGGGCAGTTTAATATTTGAAATAGTCAGATTTGTCAAAATCATGCCCATATTAAATTATGTGGTGTCACAAAGTGAAAACCGATATTTTCTGAAATAAATTTGGCCATTTTCCAAGTGCAACATAGACCCAATGTTACATTTTCCTTAGCATTTAAATGTTTAGGAAGTGACCAACAACTCGTACTTATAAATAAAAAGTAAATCACTCGCACAACTTATTTTTATCATAACTCCTTTTAAAGCAGAAGTATAATTTTATTTGCTTCTTTTATGATGGACTAATTGGAATAGTGATGACAACATATCCTCATTTGTGCATCTTATCCCTTTCCAAGACAATCCCTGTGAGGTGAAGTTCCAGAACAGAAATTGTTTCAACTAAATATCCTCTCTAATCAAACAAATCATGTTATCTTATCTGAATATGTACTGTTACGTACGGCGAATGCACGGCAGAAAGTAATAATAAAAATGGGAGTCATGAATTTGAAGCAAAGGCAAAAACAGGCCAATATATGGTTAACAAAATTTAATTAATTCTCCCAAATCAATCAACAGTTCAATGCAACTTTAAATGTCATGCAATCTCCAAAGCATTATATACAGGCAAAGCAAAATATATTACCTCTAAATTAGCAAAGCAGCATATTATTCAAACAGGTCAATCAATAGGTCAATGCAACTTTAAACTTCATACAAATCTCCAAAGCATTATATACAGGCAAAGCAAAATAAACGAGAAAGAATTTAGCAAATCAGCAAACTATTTAAACAGGAAATATGCAATAAAGAACAGGCCAGCAAAATCAACTTAATAAGCAAAAACAAAAATAAAGGGAAATTGTATTCAGCTGAATATAATTACCATTAACCCTAACTGCCTTGAATCCTTCAAAATCCTCTTTGCCAAAGTGGAGGAATTTGGAGGATTGAGGTTACATGGCAAAAGTGCTTTACTGATTTCCTAGAATGCACTTTGTCAAGGTCTTTGGCCGGACCTTTTGTTGTTTTTGCACAGCTATGCATAAATATAGGCCTGGATTATGCTTGAAATCCTCCGTACTGCTCCAGGATGTCACTGGCCAAGCCTCAACATATTGACAGTCATTGCCACAGGATTTTGCATGATTCAGGCAGTGGTAACCACTCCACGGACCATATTCAAGAATTAATGGAGGAATTTGCATGATTGAGGCTAAATATTATTTTTCCATGAGGCCAATTGGAGGAGTTTGCAGGATCAAAAATGCCTAGGGAATTTGGGTTAAATTAAGGAACCAGCAGGAACAGGCCCCGCCCAGCCAGTGCCCACAACAGTAATAGCGCAGCCGTCAAGCCAAGCATCTTTGCGCCCAGCCGTGGATCAGCCAAGCAGGTCGGTCGACGTTGAACCCGGGGAAGTCAGCCATCAGGGGTCCACGACAGTCCAGGTCTCCGTCCGGTAGTACCTTCAGCCTTGGCCACGATCCAGCGATGAGGAGTACGTAGATCGTTAGAACATTGGGAGATGCTGGCTCAACGGAAATTGCACATAACAGGTGTACATGGGCACTGACTGAGACCAAATAAAAGACAGTCAGTGTAGGATATTTACCCGCCCGTTGCCACCACTGATCTCTATATAAAGACTGGATAGCGGATATCCATACACCAGTCACACAGTAGACTTTACATTGACCAATTCGCCCCCGGTCTCACGAAGATGGCCGCGTATAATACGAACGTTCTACGCGTATATACAGCGTGCGTTGTATCAACAGTTGACGCCCATTTTGGTCACGTACACATATTATGATGTTCTAAAAAGGACACATTTCCGTACTATTTCCAAAATGCCGAAAAATTGAACTGCGGCATTAAAAAAGTAAACCACGATGTTAGAAAAATTTTAAACCTTGGTCATTGGTGGTGGTCAAAATATAAGTTAAGTGAACAGCGATGTTACAAAAGAAGTCATGCTGTCTATAAAGACGGCAACTTGTCCTTTGGAGATCACCAGCCGGTCTCACCAATATGGCGTCAAATTCATTCATTGTGCGGCTCTTTATCCGCTATCCAGTCTTTATATAGAGATCAGTGGTTGCCACCATAACAAACATTCATTATACATACATATAATTTAGTACTTTCACCACTATAACCATAAAAAACAATAAGTATTGGCCTCTACCTCCCTATCCTGGGATCTCACTGCAAAAACAAAATAATGAAATATTAAATTGCAATAGTTTAAAGAGTATACCACTTCTACGCATCAAGCTTCATTTCCTTGAGTTATGCTTAATGAAAATGTAAAACAGCCATACAGCAATGACATGTGCTTCTGGCTGCTTCTAAAATGTCAACCGATAATTTTCAGGTATATCATTCAGAATTTTATTAATGAAAATGAATTTTGTG